CAGAACAGCCCTTGGTCACTGTCCCTACATGATTAAGGACACGTTGTGGCTTGGGGATATGCAGACTTGTCAGGATGGCAGCCTGTGAGGCTTAAGGCTCGACAGGTTTCCGTATCATCACCTGAAGTCACGTGTCCCAAATAAACTAGCATTTGTGTGTTCCTAGCCACTTTAGAACCTAACATAAAGGTTTTACTGATCACTAAGTTTTCTTTATATGAGAAAACAATTTCTAAAAGAACAGTATTGGACATTTGAATTGCATTTGTTGAATGACATGATATTGGAGCAGCTCGGAAGGCTTTGCTCAACGTCACCCTGCCTGTCCCAGTGGGAGTGTGACCTGATGGCCAAGCTCATCCCCACCTGCTCATTCCAGGAAATTAGAACGAGCCACTGCTTCTCTGCTGAGGGTAATGGAAGGTGCTTCTTTTAAAATTATGTTGTATTTTGATGCTAAATGAGGTTTCTTTGTTTTTTAGGAGAGCAGAGATGAAGTCAAGGCATGATGAAATCAGAAAAAAATATGGTAAGAATCAACTGAATCTGTTTCGGTTGGTGAGAGATTGATGCCAAGCCATCCTTTTCATTATTGATGTCGCACGAGGCCTAAGTGTAGGGTTTGGGCTTTGGGTTCATTATGGGAATAGAAAGATGTCTCTACTGGGAGATGGTTATTACAAGTGGTGCTGTTAACTAATTCTTCGTAATGTCTTAAGAGATGGAGTCTTGGAATTTTTTCTTTTAAAGATTTTTTTTTAATTGAATTTTCTAGAGAGAGGAAGGGGGAGAGAGAGAGAAACATTCATGTGAGAGTGAAACATAGGTCGACTCCCTCCTGCACATCCCCTCCCGGAGATTGAGCCAGCAACCTGGTCATGTGCCCAGACGGGGAACTGAACCAGCAATCTTTCAGTGCACAGGATGACGCCGAACCAACAGAGCCTTACTGACCAGGGCAGCTTTGGAATGTTTTGATTTCAACCAAACTTTTCCAGAAATGCTTTTTGGCTTATGAAGTGCAGGCCATCACAGTAGTCTGCTATGGCCCCTTTCCTGCTCTGTCATCTTGTTTGCCTTGAATATCTGCGGGGGTTGAGCCTGGTCTCCTCCTTGCTTCTCTCCACCCTGGGTTCATTCCAGCTTCTGGGTGTTGAGCTGCATTCCCTCTTTAAGGAATCAGCCAAAACTGAGGCCTTTATCCTTTCCCTGGTTCCTGGATATTTTGTCTTGTCCTGGTTTTGTTTTGTTTTTTGTTTGGAGGGATTGGGGTGTGTGAGAGACTATTTTTTTAGTGTTTGGTTGGTTCACGTTCATGGATAGCATGAGTACTAATGCTCTTGCTTGGTAATTGCTCAACAATCTTTTGGAAATGATAGAAGTGGACTTGCTTGGCCTATCCTGAGGCCAGGCCTAACTGATGACACCATGGCCTCTAGCCTCGAGCCACTGTGCCTCCCTTGACCTTGTGACCTGGGGATCCTGTTTCGTGGACCAGACAGCTGTGCTGAATCCTAAATCTGACCAGGAACATTTCAGAATCTTATCCGACTGAGGCACTTACTTTGAAGTCCTCAGTGTGTATAAGGAAATACTCTGTTTAGTGGTATTTTAGGATCCTACTCACAGTAAATCCTGAAGGCTCCATTCCCTGATGGGCTGCTGGTGCTCAGCTGTGCGCACTGGCTCAGCAGCCTACTGGCTGGATGCCCTTCTCATGGTCTGCAGGCTGCAGGACACAAGCGTGTGCTGTGTACCCGGCTTGGCCTCAGCCTGGGGTTGGCCCTGGTGGTCTCCAAGTGTTAGTTCCAGGCATGAGCCTTTTCTTGTGTGTTCTGTGAGGTCAGAGCCACCAATCTCTCTCTGCCACCTGGCTGCCACATTCTTCCTGCCCACAGCATGGACCCCAGTGTTGGGCCTTGTTCCAGCGCAGGTGGTGGTGGGCTCCTGTGTGGGAGCAATTCCCTTGTCCGGTGGCCTCCGCACGTTGCCCACTCTCCCTTGGTGCCTCTACCTGGGTGCCTGCCCGTGCCCACTGAGTGGCAGTGTCGGCTCCTGTGGCTGGGGGCTGCTTGGTTTTCCACAAAAGTCAGGAGCCTCAAAAGGAGCTTTGGACATCTGGTTAGCATTAATGTAAATAAAAGACAAGGTGTGTGCCGAGCGCAATGGTGTGCGGCAGGGCCTGGGGCCAGGGCTCAGGGCTCAGGGCTTAGTGGAAGCTCTGCTCCTTGTAGCAGTGCACTGATGTCCTTGGTTTCTATCGTTTTCGTTTGGCCTTTAACTGTACTGATAAAATTAACTTGTGTGCCGGTTTATGTGAAGCCCATTGAATGTCCTGGACTTTGGAAAGCCTCCTACCTGGAGTAAGTCTCAGGGTTCCCGGTGGTGAGGGGAAGTGGCACATGAGTGCTCTCGGTTCAATCAGCACACAGAGCGAGCAGTACAGGCCAAACCCTGGCCTGGGTGTTAGAAGGCATTTGATTTCCATATCACACAACAGTTTTCCTTCTGACTAGAAATAGAGCTGGGAGCGGTTTCCTTTTTTGAACACGTCCTGCAACTGCTTGTACTTGGCCTTCGACGTATGGTAGTTCTTTATCGATGGAATCCATGCACTTTCCCCCAGGGCCTGAGGCTCCCATCCTCCTGCCACTCGAGCACCGTTGTTGCATCCCCTTCCTTTCCCCTCGTGTCTCTTTCCCACCCCACCGTGAGCAACCCTGCAGTAAGCAGCTGAGTTTCAATGGCTCCAGATAATTTCGGTGTATGATACAGGTCCCTGCTGAGAGAGAGAAAATTCCTAGTCCGGTGTTTAGCACTGTAGATTTATTTTTAAGGTTAAATAACACATTTTACTGCAGGTATGTCCTAATGCTTGACAGTTAAATTGGTGGTGGCTTTATTTTTATAGTCTTAATTTTAAAAGTTAATCCACATTTATAAGGACATTTAAAGGAAGGTGCTTTTTGTTCATTAGTTTTGTGTATGATATTAGCCAACCACAGTGAGAAGAAATACTAGCTTTAAACTCCTTTTTTTTCTTCTGTTCAAGTTTTTTCCCTATTTATTCAACCTTTTTTTTTTTTCTGGCTGTAAATTTCTTAACTTATCTTTGAGAGAATCAGCAAATAAGTCTTTATTTCTTGAGATCTGTTTTTCTTGAAATAATTGGGTTTGGTGCATTTTATTTCGATGTTAAAGTCATTGTGCTTGGACTTTTGGGAAAGGTTTAGCGTAGTATTTGAACCTGCTTAGGATCCTGTTTCCCTATTGGCCTCATATAAAGCTTAATTTTATTGCTTTCTTGAATTTTGTTTCTTGTTGACCGGGTGCATTTGTAACCAAGTCCTTTTTTTTTTCAGGTTTGTTTAAAGAGGAAAACCCATATGCTAGATTTGAAAACAACTAGAACACACTTCTGCCCTGTCAAGCAGTCCCAAAGGCGCTCCTAGGGAGAGCAGTCTGCAGACCTGGCCGCCCATCCTGCCTCCTCACCTTGACGAAGTGAGCAGGACACAGCTGCCCTGAGGCAGTCCTGTTCTTATCCCCTGAGCTTCTGTACCCTGTTCTGTTTCTGTATTTAGTTACTTGTGATATTGAGTCTGTGGGGGTGGGGGAAGGTTGCTTTTGTTTTATTGTTAATTTGAGGAGGAATCATGCACATTCCACTTCTCGGTTTGTGACCTGATTGCAAACTGATAGCCATGACACTAACTCCAGCCATCCTCCTGCTGGATGGACCAGTCTCACATCATTTCCCCCTAAGCCACAGGGGCAGATCTCAAGTCCCTGTCACACTTTCTCCCCAGTGTCAGTTCTGGTGGCTTTCCGCATCCAGGATGCAGTGTCAGTGGCCCTACTTCCTGACTGTAGTTGCCATGAAGAGCATTGAGGAATAAGCTTATTTAAAATTTTAAAAAATAATAATTTCTAGATTTTATTTCCCCACCTACAAGATTTCACCAAAAACTTCACTGTTAATATTCAGACCACATATTATATGATTTAATTTGTATCTTTACTGGAACATGAAGGTTATTATCCAGTGAAAACATGAATTATAAATGAAGTTTTGAAACAGCTTCTCTAAGGCAATAGATGGTACTATCTATCACACACCAGCATGGAGCACGAGAGTGCTGGTAACTGCCCTGTAACTGGCCCTGTAACTCATTGTTTCTGGCCCCAGTAACAGCAGGCGCTCTCCTGGGTCTCTCCCTGCTGCCGGGCTGTGTGCCAGCCCTGAGGAAGGCACCATGCCCTGGGCAGCCCCTCTGCAAGGCTCTGTGCACTGGGAAGTGGGGCATCCAGGGCCAGCTGAGGAAATCTCCACATGCCACACAGACACTGGTGATTGTCCTGCTTCTAAGACAACCCTGGCTCTGAGCCTTGCTCCTTTGGCTCAGGTGTGTCTTGGGACTTCTTTAGAGGCGGCTTTCATTAGGGCATTGGTGGCCTCCAGGTGCCCTGTGGCACCATATGTGGTGGTTTCATTTCTTTCAGATCAAGAGACTGGGCCTCAGTAATAGACTGAGTGCATGTCAGGGACAGCAGCAGACAAGGAAGGAACAGTGGGAGCAGCATTTCTTAATCTGACACATTCCCCGGTACCAGCTTTGACTTAGAAAAACATTTCACTTTGGAAAAGTAGGCCAGCAGGCACATAAAAGAAGCCGTGCGTTCAGTATCCACACTCCTGCTGCTCTTAGCTCCAAATAAAGCTCACGTGCAGATCAGAATGATCAAAACCGCACGACAGCCTTTACCCGCGGAGCCGGTGCTGGGAGTAATTCCACAAAACCAAGAAACTAACCTGAACAAAGTCCAGTCTTATTTCTCCACTCCTTGGGCATTTGACTGCAATTTAAAGTATTTCAGGACATTCCTTAGTGTTTTAACGTAGCCTAACAACTTGGACACTTTGCTCTTTATTCATAGGGAAACTTTGTAACCGACTTGTAACTTTGTAACAAGCTTTGTATTAATAAGTAGCTAGTGTGTATGTAAAGGCCCTTGCTATAGGTTGTTGTGCTGATACAGTGAATACAGTGTGTTTAATCCTCTCAGGAGACAGCCCTCCGAAGGGCATCTGAAAGGCATCCCAGTTCACATGCTTTTCTCTGACAATGCTAAAAGCAACCAAAAATTCCAACCTCAAGAAACTATAAAGTTTGGAGTGCCTTAATTTTTAACCAGTTTCCAGTACATAGTTTAATACATGCTTTTGCTGAATACTCTGTGTTTCTTGTATTTCATTTCTTAGTATTAATATGATTACAGATGCTCCTCAACTGACAGTGGGGTTACATCCTGATAAACCTATTCCAAGTTGAGATTCTAAGTCAAAAATGCTTGTGATATGCCTGCCTGACTTACCGAGCGTTCGAGCTGAGCCAAGCCCACCGTAAGCATGCGCGGCACACTCGCGTGAGCTCGCAGCTGGGCAGAACCGTCCAACAGCAAAGACACACTGTAGGTGTTGCCTGTTCTGACTCTGATCACGTGGCTGATGGAGAGCTGCAGCTCACCCTCTGCCCAGCATCACCAGAGGATCACACCACGTGTACTAACCCCGGAAAAGACCAGAATTCAAAATCCAAAGGACAGTTTCTGCTGAATCTGTATCACTTTTGCATCATCGTAAAGTTGAAAAATTATAAGTCAAAGAACCATCATCAGTTGGGGACTGTAGTCGGAGAGGGCGGTTAGACTGTCTAGATAAAGACAGACTTTCGGCCCCATCGTGAGGTATGTGAACACCCGGCGCTAATACCCACGGCTGACAAGGAATGACCATGCCGTGCCCCAGCCCCCAGCAAGCCAGCTGTTAGCTCTCCAGTGGGTGCAGCCCCCCTTCCCCCGGGATTTCCCTTCTACTTAGCTGGAGTCTGATCCAAAGAAGCCCAGGAGGAAGCAGTTTTCCCTTTGAGCTTTGCGTCCTTGACTCCCTTGTTTAAAACATAACTATCAACAGGGGCCCACCCTCCATCTCTCTCTTTTGGGGGGAGTCTTAAATGCCTGGTTCATGAGGAACAGCTCATCCTTCTCTGAGCCATTTTTACCATCACATCAGTATTTGGGACTGTGGGGCCTCTCTGCTGAGTTCGTGTCTGGAGATGGTCATCAGTCCCCTTGGGGAGCGAGCCTGCCCCACAAGACCCAGCCGTGTTCTACTCCCACCCAGGTGGAAGTACACGCGCAGGTCAGCTCCGGCCTCTGCTCTGGAACATCTGGAGGTTACCATCCTGCATCTAGGATGCGGGACACCGGAGGTTGTGTCTCTACCCCCAGGTGTGGTCGCGGGATGGCCTTGGGCCTGGCAAGTCCTTAGAGAGTCTCCAGTTTATGTGGGGGCCTCACATCAGCCTTGGCCTCATTTAAGAAGCTGGACGGTGAGAACTCTGCTTGGAAGGTAGGGACAGTGAGTGCAGTGCTTTGGCACGGTGCCTGCTCTTAGGAAAAATCACTGCCTGGTTAAAAAGGCGCATCAGATGGGTGACAGTGGCGGTGTCCCCATCCACTGGTTCTGGGCTTCCTTCCAGAGCTGGTCTCTGTCGCAGGGCTCCCATCATGTACATGCAACCATGCACTCGGCCACTGCCTCGGGGCAGGCCTGCAGCGCCTGTTCTGTCCCCTGGGGG